AAATGAGAATACAAACTCCACGCTCTTGTTTATTATACTTGTGGGAGACAACTTCTACTGGAATGGTGTGTCCGCGGGCCGGTTCGAAGAAACCTGGCAAGATATTTACAAAGAGCTGGCCACAGACTATCCGTGGTTTGTCATCATGGGCAACCATGATTTTGGAAATTCAGATCCTGAAGGTCTTTGTCCATTCTTCAACCCGCGGATGGTTTGCTCCGGCCCTGGTAGCGGATGTGGAGGTGCACGGCCGTTTTCCAATCAAACTCAGACCTATGCATGCAATCAGCTCAATGTCGATAAAGGCGGTATTGGTGGCAACACAAGAACAAACTTTCATATGCCAGACTTCATGTACTTCTACACCATTCCAGATTTGGATTTTGAAATGATCGGGATGGATTACAATTACTATGACTTTGAAGGCTTAGGCGGCAATGGCTACGGCCCAACAGGAGGTGCACGTGATGTAGCCAAAGCATGCGGCGGTACTGATCGTGTCAAGGACAGCTTGTCAAGGCTGAGGGATGCGTCCAACAAGATCCTGAAAATTCGCGCAGATGCTGCCGCTTCAAAGAATGTCGCAATTTTTAGCCACTACCCGGATTGGGCACAAGAGGGAATCAACTTGCGACAGAAATTCCTGGATGAGGTGCACAATCTAGACAAGCAAGGCATGCGTGTGTTGAACTTCTACGGCCACACACACATTCAGCAGTGTGATCTGAGCTTAATTGATTGCTGTAAGCCTTTGGTAAGCGTCAAACTCGACATTGCTGCAGTGTTTGTACGCGGCACAAGACTCAACAGCGCTCAATGCTACCAGTAAGGACAGACACGCCGAAGCAAATTACTCTGGGTGCACGGATTTTTTGACTGGTGGTGGTGGTGGCTTCTTGGCTTAGCCGATCTTGGCAGCTTTGTCTCTTCGTGAGAGTCAGAATGGGATTTTCGGAACAGCCAAACTGTTACTGTACGTGGCACACACACAAACACACACACAAATACTGTATGTACCCTGTCTAGTTGTCGCTTTCGCTTAAAGTTATGTTTAATGTCGATCCCTCAGAAGGTATTTGAATATTGCTAATTAATTGGGGTGTTCCCCCAAGGCTAATCTTGATTGATGAGGAGGCCATTAAGCATGAGGTGGGATATCATGACCTGCCATATTAAGAGCGCTTGTGACCCCATGTCAGAAGGATTGCAAGCATGTGGACAATGTGGAGGATTACGCAGAGGATTCGAAAGAAACACGAGAACATGAAGGAAAGGACCTATGAGGTTGAAGATTCCATCAGGAAGGAGAAGGGGAAGGGGAAGGTGGAAGAAAAGACTTTGAATGATTTTAGTGGAAAGGGCAACAGAGGCCTGTGGGACTGGGGAGATTGTGAGTCGAGGGTTGGTCGGGGGGCCTTGGGAGCTTTGAGAGTGTGCTGGATTGGCTTCATACAGGTCTTTTCACACACAGGTTTTCTGTTGGTGGTCTTGGACTTCTGTGTGATTCTAGAGGGCCTGGTCCAGGTGAAGAGCAGTGAGGTTCTTATGATGAGATGGGAGGGAGCATCGAGGTGTATTTGTAGGTGTTGGAGAAGGAGAGCTGGGTGAGGAGGAGGCTGAAGGTATGAAAGAGCAGGATACCAACATGGGATGAACATCAAGACTACACCTGAGCACTTGCTGCACATCCACCACTTTGGCCAAAAGGTGTTTTGGAAGTTATGTGAAGAAGTGATGTTAATTGTGAAACGAAGGAGTTGAAGAAAGGGAAGAAAGGCGATAAGTAACGCAAAAAATTGGCGGCTGGAAAGTTGGACCAAACTAATTGAGGGGAGGCATTGCACCAAACTTCAACTGCGCTAGAATTTGTTCGAAAGGCGATTAGTATTGCCAGAACGAGGCAGACCAAACAAATAGGGGTATCTTAATCCTGGGTCGACATTACATGAAACGCTCTGGAACCACCAGCTCCAATACGGCATAACCGACATAATACGACTTGAAAGTTTGCCGACCGGAAAGACACGGCTGCAAGTGCTACAAAAATGCATGTTTGGATTTTGGAAGGTTTGGAGCAAAATATAGCAAGGACTGCCGCGGTATGAGGTGTTTAGTGACCACGAAGCGATTGTGTTGAAACAAGAGGTATCGGTTGAAAACATGCGAAGAGGCATCCTGCTGGGCATGACCCACGACTGACCAGCAAACAAATGAGAAAACACCAGCGTTGCTCTTTGTGGCTCTGGGGCCTCCAAACTTAAGGAGCAACCTACAAACAACCTTCACGCATTGTGTGTTTAGCCCGGGAAACAGTTTACTGGGCTGGTCCAACTTGTCGGTTTGTCCAGGCCCTTTTGGGGTCAGTGTTTGCTGCTGTGATTGTCCGGGTGCTGTGGGCCCTTCCTTATTGTCGATCTCCGGGTTTGTTCTTTTGTGGCTATGAATGCAACAGTGACGCAGCAGTTCAATTATAAAAAGTTGATATCATCCTGCTCGAAATACAAAAGAGTGTTCTTTTGCTTACATGCCGTTCTCAAACAGCTGGAGGCTAAAATAGTATAGTTACATATTACACTTGCAGATGTTTCCACCGACCTTGGAATTCAAGGAACTGATACAAAACAAATACAGCTGAAACTGTTTGGGTCTATGCTTGTATATTTGGTGTTTTTGTTGTGGTGCAAGTTATTTTGTTGAAATAGGGACGGGCGTTTAGGCGCAGGCTACCGGACACCACATTCAACCTATCGTCGAAGTAGGCCTGTTCTGACACATAGCCGGCCCAGCGCTTCCCCTAATCAAAGTCTTGATTGCTGCTGCTCTCGCGGCTACTGGTAAGAGTATGCCTGCCCTAGTCTGTCGGACACAACGGCGGGCGCTTCCAGACCGAACCTATGATGTCCATGATAGAAAACCCTGCCTATGACTCGAGCCTGGGACTGTGAGCTCGGCGGCAATTCACCGAGAAATTGGAAAAAGGGTTTGGTCGTTTCATGCTCCGCCCCCACCCCACAATGTCCAAACACCCACAGATGGCTTGTACAAAGGCATTTCTGCACAAAAGCAATTTTGGGCGTTCTGGACATGGCTCCAAGTCCAAGGCTTGCAATTACTTGAGATGGGGCAAGAAAGATGATGTGTTCTTTCAAGATATATAGTTCAAGATAATGAATTAATGAGGCAAGATGCTATTTCAACATGATTATGATGATTCAAGAAGACCCTAGCAACGCGGAAACAAGGTAGCGGTAGGAGCACGTTCAGATGTTTTGCTACCCAAGCCTGTTTCGAATGTGCATGCTATCAGCACACTGAAAATCAGTTAGGGCATCCTCTTGAACAACAGCTTTAGGAAGATGTGATAGAAATCTGGTAGTTGTTTTTGAAGTGTTGTGATGCCGGTGATGTATATAATTGACGGCCAGCAGTGCATCATTGGCATCATGAGGAGCTCAGTGGAACTCCTCCAGGAAAGGGAGATGCGCGTCTCTGGTGGCGATTGAATAAGTGTTCGACTAGGGGTGAGAGGGAGGTGTGTGTCTCTTAAGACACTGTGCGATCTGTGAGGGCAGGACAGGGAACAGAGTGCTGTGGGGAAGGTGGAGAGTGGAGGACGTGGCAGGAAAAGAGGGCTTGCAAGAAATCTTGGAGAGGCTGGGGGGCTCCCTTTTTTAACTGAAGACGCCTGTCAACCATATGCAAAAGGGCAGCTTGGGGGTGCCCTTGTTCATGTGCCATAGGGAGGATGTGATAGGAAGAGAGGTGGGGAGTTCATGAGGGCTTACCCCCCCACCATATTGATATCTTTTGCGGTGGCTGGCTTTCCTCCCCTCTCTTCTCAGGTTAGTATTTATGGGTTGATCACTCGTCGTAGTGGAGTTATTATATATAGTCAAAACTTGCCCTTCAGCCCCTACAAAGTCAGGCCAAACTTGGCTGTATAAGAAGTGTGCACAGGAACGCGCTAAAGTGTCACAAGACTCAGGATTGTGTTTGCTTTGTGTGCAAACTGAACCTCAAAGGCATTGCAAAGTTTACATTCTAGTTCAAAGGTTTGGCGTGAGCGTAGTCAAAAAAGTTTGGCCTTTGCCTAGAGTTTGGCCTCTTTGGAGTTGACACTTGGCTTGTGATTTGCATACGGGTTTCCTGCATTCCTGGCTTGCCAGTGGCACTTTTTCATCTCAGAGTGGCACACAAGAAAGTCAAGCAAATGTCTCAACGAAAGGTGTTGTTTTGGGTGTGTCAGCATTATTGAAATGAATACATTGTTGGACTTGTGGCAGAAAATGCAAGGCTGCTGCGGAGACACTCCGGCGGGTTTTGTTGCAATTACGTTTGAAAATGGGAAGCAGACCACAGAATGCTACTTGGCGGCCTTGAACTTGAAGTGTTACTGTAAGTTGATTTGTACTCGTAAGTTGAATTTCAACATGATGTCTTCCCAAGTGCATGGTATTAGAGCCCTTGAGGTTTTGATCCTGACGAACGATGTACCATACCAGCTTGGACATCATCATCATTGATTCAGAATAAGAAGACTGCTGCTGTCTCAAATGATGCTTCTGAGCAGCACAATAGTTCACTATCAGTGCTACCAAGATTCTCAGGCACAGTAAGTTTGATTATGATTTTTCTTTTGGCGCCACCAAGGTTTGCCCCCCATACCCTGGACGACCCACGTTGTCCAGCCTACAAGGGACCTCTTAAGATTTTTTAACCACCCTTGGACCCTTAGCGGCACACAGTTTCACGCGTGACCCAGCTATCGTAGAATTCAGAGAAGCTGACTCAGCTAGTATCTAGCCGAGCTCAGCGAACACAAGACCTGAATACTGTAAAGTTACGAAGCCAGCCAAAAAGATGAAGATGGCGCAGAAGCGATTTGGAATGACTGTGGAAAGCAACGCAAAACTTAATCATTTATTGTCATTTGAAGATATTTGAAGACTGTGTACACCCTAGGTGTTCGAGGATATGGCTTAGCGTTTACAGCTTCATAGGTGCTCATGATTTTGAAAGCCCCGAACTTCTACTGCAACACATTGCAAGGTGCGCATATGGACTGTGGCCGTGCCAGTATTCGAAGTCGTCCATGTAAATACACCGTTTGAAATCGTTTGTCGTTATACTCAAGAGACTGTGCAGTCAACTCACAAAAAGCCAGGCATCCTCATCATGTGTATGTTGCAGGATCAATTTGATGTTGGAGGACTTTCTGCGCTGTTAAATGATTTGCACCGGTGATGCTTTGATGCCAGGGTTGACAACGACCCGGAGCTCTTCAAGCCAGCAGCTGAAGCAACAAGCATGGGGGCACTCTTGAACGAATGGTGGCACACATGGGATACATTGCTACAACTTGCTGATAGCTTTGCTATGCTTTGTTTCATAAGGTCATGTCTGCAACTAGTACGCCCAAGCATCCCCCACAAAGCGTGTTGTACCAAACCACCAGGATCCAGCAGACTGGCAGGTATTGTTTGGCCACGCAACAGCTTAAAGCACAATAATGCTTATTCCCACGCTTTTCCCTTCAAAACGCACAGATGCCGTTGGAGTTCTTATTTTCGAAGTGCATGTCATCCCCCACACATTCAGACTCGAACTGTCCTTTGTTATCCTTTGTAGTATGGTTTGATCAAAAGAAGGGAGCCGCCACTGCTCAACGCTTGGATTCAAGGTCTTACTTGCGGCAGCCAATACTGGCCAACCATTGGTACGAACGGCTCAAGGACAGTTGGTCGATCTGGTGTGTTTGGATGTGCTTGAATTGTTCCATGCAAGTAGTTTGTGTTGCCACATCCACGCGTTTCACCCCGCGACTTGCTGCCAAGAAAGATGGACACTCAGAGGTTTGGTTGCTGGCTGTAAACTGTAAAGATATCAGGGTCGCAGGTGCAGTTGGCATTGGGTGGTCGGTGATACAGACTACTTGAACTTGATCCACACGCAGTAAAAGTCAACAATTGCAAGTCCTGCATTCCATGACAATGCGAGCTAGATTAACTGTTTGGATGTTAGTTTGATGCATGAAGCTTAGAGGAAATACGTTTAGCTCCAAACAACCGGAAACACAATGAAAGTATACTAGCAATGGCCTCCAACCTAATTAGAAGTGATGGCCTCCAACCCAATAGCGATGGCGTCCGACACAATGACTATTCTAGCTACCAGCGCCACATATACAACGTGTGACTTGGCCATTGATCTGTTATGTCACGACAAGCTTCAGCAGGACTCAGGCAGATAACGTCGCGAGGAATTTGTCAGTCGGCAAAAAGGGCACAGGCTGCTTTTGGTTCTGGCATTTTCTGTATGCAATGTGGTTTGCTTCATTTGTGCAAATGTTTTTTTTCGTTTTGCATGTCTTCATGTTTCTTTGTACAGTGGTTCGGGGTTTTGTTCGACGCTTCATTGTGAAACTCTTCGTGCCTGATTATGTGGGTGTTCAATGGTCAGTTGTTCAACAGATTTTTTTTGCTTCTGCATTGTGCAGCTGGTTGCACAACTTGTTGATGTCTTTGGTGCATTTGCTCTATTCACGCTGCTCCCTAGCACAGCGTTGGACCTCCTGGCCCCTCCAATAACGTCCATTACATGTTTGCAACTTTGAATCCGTGGCCACACTTGTCTATATAGCCTTCAAAATGCTTTGATGATCCTGTTATGCCAAAAGACCTTCTTGATTCATGCAAGTGATGCCGACAAGATTTGCCTTGCATGATTGATATTCAGCTCTAGCATGATGTCGCAGAAGCCCTAAAGCCCTGTGTGTGTGTGATGTAACTACCACAGACAGCATCCAACCACAACAAATCATGGGAAGTTACAGCGAAACAGATGAAATGGGTGCAGATAATGTAGAATCACCATGCACCCGAGGATGTTTACTTCACATGATTCATCACCACATGGGTTTTCCTGTCAAAGAGAATTTGCGGAAGACTGTTGCAGCAAAAATAGTTAATACAAACCGTTTGCCTGTGTGACAAACCGCAGGATTGGTCTTCTTTTTGCCGCGCCGACAAGTTTGTTCCTCTTGCTTTGCCTTTCAAACATCAACAAGTTGACATGCGATGGGACCAGCTGCTTTGTATAGTACATTTGAACATCATTTGATCACGTTGAAAGTTAAAGTGCTGATAGTGAGCCACGTTTCAAGACTCCGAGAGTGCCAGGTCGAGGCTTTCAGGAGCTCCTTTTTGCTGATAGTGACAAAGGAACGTTAGAGCCTGAGACTCAAAGAGCAGGTCTTGGTGTTTGGGTTCGGGAGCGCGCTCCAAGTGAGGCGAGGGGCGAGCATGCTTGGCACAAAAGAGATGGAGCCAAGCTGCACAAAAGAGATGTGTGTGACAAGCCAGTTGCAAAGGAACCATGTCTTGTTTGTTTGACCAAGTTAGACTGGAGACACGAAAGTTGGGGCCGTTTTGGCTTTGAGTTGCATCAATAGAAAAACAACAGGATTGTAGTCCAATCTCAGCAACTCCCAAACCATTGCAAAGGCACTTGCATAGGCTAGATATGGTGCACAGAGCAGAATCTAGCAGCATTCACTGCATTGTGTACGATGTGTAACTATAGTGAAAATGATGCATGGATGTTTTCGGAACAAAACTTGGAAAGAATCACACAGGAAACTGACCCATTCTGGGCACAGAGCAGCTCTCCAGCAAAGAACCTTCTACCTTCCAAGCTTTGCGGATGTGGGTTCTATGACGCTGAATCTAAAGTGCGCCAACGCTGTCACAGCTGCTCCCACGCACAAAGTTTATGCACAGATCTGGAGATGCCGACGGTTTGAGTTTTTTGTTTTTGTATAGCAGTGTTTGTAATCAACAATTGCACATTGAACATGATGAATGCTCATGCTTGAGACACACACACACACACGCACGCGCGCACGCACGCACACTCACACACACTATGCGAAAGTATGTGTCCCGAAATGCTCACAAAACTCACCGTTCGTGCAAGCAGAGCGGAGGGCAGCAAAATTGGACAGCCTGTTTAGCCGTTTAGCCCACCGATGTTTCTCAAAACGTGCCAGCCGAGGAAATTGGAAACCGCGGCCACCTGCCACTCCACAACAGCCTGCTTTGCCCAGGCCTCAACAGACCCAAGTCCTAGTCAAATGCCAGTGAAACAGAGAAACACTGCCCCAGAAAATGCAACCAAGCTACATACTTGGATACATACTTGGACATAGTGTGGGAGCATGGAGAATGCAATTCTTACAGATCTACCGATCTACCTGTGAATTACTCTTGTTCATGCTTACCTTCACATCTCGTTCACCCTGTGATGGCTGTGCATTAATATGAACTTGCAGCGCGGTCTGGGAGAGCCCACTGCGCTGTTGAGGTCCGGGAGTGCCCACAGCCTGCAGTTGAGGTCTGCGAGTGCCCACTGCGATCTAACGCTTCCTGTTGTGAGGTCCGGGGGCGAGACAGTCCAGGGTCAACCCCATGGCCATCCACCGGCGAAGGCATCGTGCAGAAGCACGCTGCAACGACTTGACCTTGACTTGGCAGAGATTCTCAGCTGCTGTTGACTGCGTGTGGCGGACTTTGCGACGGCTTGCCGAGTGAGCGCGAACAGGTGCTGACGCAGACTTTGTCCAGCTTGGCCCTGGCACTATCTTCAGGCAAGCTACTGCACCACTTCCAGGTTGGCCTCCGCTGCTGAAGGGCACAACTCCTGCCAAATAGCTTGGCGTTGCAACTTGGCTGTAAAGGTGGTCAGCAGTGCCCGCGACCCATTCTTCAGCGACAGCGCTTACACTACGTAACTGGGGCCCATGAGTTTCCACGGCAATCTTTGGAGGCAGTCTACCCAAGCAGTCCTTTAATGCCCGCGCTTCTGCCATTACTGCGGCTGCCCTCGGTATTGTTCATGTTGCTTTCTGCTACCTACCTCTCAATCAGCATCACAAGCGTGATTTGTTGGGGCCTTCGTTGCGTGCGCTGCGTGCTTTGGCATGGAAAACGGCGAGACGGAGAGAGACGAGAGAGAGCTAACTCACGCCAGGAGCGGGCAAGACGAATCAGTAAAAGCTAAACCTCACCGTGTTCGATCAAGAGTTTGGAGCAGGCAGCTCTTTGAAATTTCAAGACGCTCAGGCTGCAAGCCAGCGCTATGGAGGGCGCCAACCTCGAATGTTTCGAATCTTGGTAGAGATTGACAGGAAACGGGTTGCGCAAAACATTTATTGGTTGATCACGGGCTTGATGGTGACTCGGGCCCAACAACAACCCCTATACAAAACGCTGAGAGCATTCGAGAACTTATTGAGCCCGAAAGTCGATACCTAGTGGCCTCCGCGGTCATTCGAGGCTTGGTTGCCTGAGTCTCTCCTTGGTGAGCCACCAGCTTGGCTTTTGGCTTAGCTGCGACAGCGTTGTTGTTTTTCGGAGCCCAACATCGCAAGAAGCTTCAATTGGCCTGGTTTGCAAATTGAGGCATGGTCCATTGGTGGATAAACAAGATCTGGGTGGGTGCACATGGTTGGCCATTGACGGTCACTGAAGGACCCGCCCACTCAGCCTACTTGCCTGATCTTTGCAGGACTGGAGGCTTACAAACTTTTATTTTGATGTGAGACGACTCCGCAAGTTGGATGACATAAATGCAAGGCGAGCAGTTGCATATCACCGAATAGCTGTTTCACAACGTATTGTGGTTCAGCAAGTACTGCTGGTGATTGTTCCGAGCATGACTCAGCATGACCTTGTTCGTTCCCCATAAGCAAAGCTATGTAGAAACAAGTCAACAAGGGCGTGGGAAGGTTTGATTTTTGGGATCCAGTTTTGGGCGGCGGCTTCGCGCACAACTGGCAACCCGAAGCTTAGTGGCTTGGAAAGAGCCAGCTTTGGCAGAGCACCCCGCACGGCTGAAGATGGGAAAACGGACTGATTCCCGATGATTTGTTTCATCGTTCATAATGAATGCGTTTCATGCACATCACACTTTACACACCCGCGCACGCACGCACGCGCACACACACATGGACACACGACTGTTCCTTGCGCACCAGGCCGTCCAAAAATCTTGGCAACTATGTGGAGTTTTGCATGCATGTGTTTGCTGTTTTTTTGTTTTTTTTGTGCTATGCGGAACTGACCACTGCGGTTTCCAAAGGGATTGCCCACTGCATGCTGAGGCTCGTGGCTTCGCCAAAGTTATCCGCCCATCCAACAGCACCGCCCCACCCTCAGAACAATTAATTGTTGTTTTCAGGAGGCTCGTTAATTCACAAGGCGCACTGGAGTATGCGGTGTGCACAAGATATTTCCATTTACCTTGAACATGGCTGAGATCGTGTTGAGTGTGGGTTGTTCATCTAAAGCCTTTTTCTGCTGCGGGGGTTTGGAAACCTAAAGACTACAGTATATGTGACACCAACAAATGAATTCATTCGGTGAGATGGTCCGTTGAATTGAAGCTTTGGATTTTGGTTTTGCATTGTGAAGTGCGCATGTGTTGGAACACGCATTGTGAAGTACTGCGCATGTTTGGTGCGAAGGCCGTATTTCTCGAAAAGGATTGTAATCATACAGAAGGAATGGGTTTCCATTTGGGCGTTGAAGATCGTCAGGTGAATGTTTGCACCTCTGATGAATATGTTTAATAATCGGTGTACCAATTTGAGTTCCACGATTTCTTCACATTGTGGACACGCGCGAACAGTTTCATAACTAATGCAGCCAGGACATGTTCCTGGGTCTGAGTTAGAGCGTAAGTATGTTCATTCCCATGCGTGATTGTCCATCTAGTGCCTGGGTGATCGTTGAGATTCCTTTGAGGCCACATTTCGGCATGGCAAAAAGGCCATTGCATGCAACAGTTCTGCTGCAGTTTGTTTCGTTTGTTCAGTTGGTTTTGATAATGGACAGGTTGCTCGAGAATGGAGGAGATGATGCTTTGCTCAAGGTTTGGCAAAAATTGGATACCCTTGATCTTTCTCTTAGCTTGAACAGGCCAAGCAGAGAAAGGAAGGCAAGACAGAAACCAAGACAAAGGACCTTCACAGGTTTTATCTACTAATGCGCATTTGGTAACATTAATTCAGCTCATGCTGACTCCCTATTGTACCCAGGAGGAGAAGGTAGAAGGAAAGAGTGAAGCAAAGGAAGAAGAAAAGGAAGAAAAAAATGAAGAAGTCAAGGAAGAAATAAAGGAAGAAGTGAAGGAAGAGCTTCAAGATACCAAGGAAGAGGAGGCACTGACCGCACCATTTCCTCTACTTTGAGAGCCATTTAACTTGGTTTGTACATTTTGATGGCATTGATTCCTCTTTCAAGGAAAGCAAGTGGTAGGATCGTAGCCGCAGGATTATATGAACAATTTTTGTTCACGTGCTCCAGGTGGACGCCATTCTCAAAGAAGCCTTGGCCTCAATCCCACACCTGGATGGAAAGAACTTCGAGAGATTGACATGAAGTTTGCCTGTGAGTTTTTGGATTTACAGTATTTGGTGTGTTTCCCGGTGCCCAAAGAGGCGACCCTGTGTAGCGCTGTATCAGTATTGAGGTTGAAGAAGGCGACACGCCCAAAGGTACGCAGTTTCGATTCTTTTAATCAAGGATCCAGCATGATGCTGAGGGCACAGCGGTTTTGTCCCAGTGTGCTGCAGGAACAAGGCGCAAAAGATCCTCCGGAAGACAAGAGGAATCTGTAGTGAAAGTGCTTTGTCCGACAAGTCCACTTTGTCCAAACTTAATACTGTATACTATTTCTCCAGTCAGCCATGTGAGGAGGAGCCTTTGCCTGAAGTAGAGGCAGCTGACACTGAGACCGAGTATGAAGAGGCTTTGGGTCAGAGCACGCTTCATGTAAGATGATAGAGAAAACGAGTTATCCTTCTTGCCCTGTGCAGCCTGACCTGTCTGGCTTCCCGCCGAAGCTTTTCATAGAGGATACACAGAATCATGGATGTCTTTTGTTGTATTTTAATCACGTTTAAGCTGTTCTTCAGCAGGAGTGCTCCTACGACAAGCTCAACGGCATGTACAGGAACTGTTTGTCAACTTATGTCGATGCGCCGCTGCAATGAGTTGGCATCTGTTCTTTCGACCTTTAGAGCTTTCTTTGGGTAACAATTGCCACGCTACTAGTAACAAGTGCCTTACTACTAGTAACAAAAAGCTATTAGAATCACTAGTAGTAACAATAAGAATTTTATTGTAATTACTAGAAAAGGAATTTGTTCTTTCGACCTTTAGAGCTTTCTTTGTTCCTTTCACCGTTTGTGCCTCTTCATTCCCATGGTTCCTTCGCACATTGATCTTTCAGCAGGATCATGGCCAAGCCTAGCAGGGGCAGGCCAAGAGAATAATTCAATGGCGGACAAAGTACCAGACTTCGATCAATTCCGGTCGTGCAGTCACGCAGTGGTCATTTTCGTCAAGGTGTTTTAGGTCTTGCCCATTACTGTAAGTTTTCAAGAGGGCGAGTTTGGGGAATTCCTGAAATCTAGTGCTGCGCACAGATCTATTGAAACATGATTTTGGATGATGCTAGAAAGAGCTTCAAGAGCAAACAATGTTCTGCAAGTGTAACTGTAGTAAATGATGGGCAATGCCTCTCTCCAAAATCTCAATGGTGCTTTTTTGGTGTGCAAGGCCCTGCTATTGCAAGACAGCCAACAAGAACGTGTGAATGTCTTGGTACGCCAGTTTGCATGCACCCACAAGCGAAATCAGTGCACTCAGGTTTTTATACTGGCACAGCTCAAAGCGCTGGCACGTTGGTTTTGAATTGAGTGCCAAGAAATGCACGGCGTAAAGTGCTCAGCTTCTTTGAGTAGAATACTCTCAGTGTCAGTGATACTACAATTGTTTGCTCTTCTCTCTTCCGGAATTGACTTTGAGGAGCATTCCAGACATTGGTGATCTAGCACTACCAACGGAGCCGTACCCAAATGACTGGAAGGCAACTCTGAAGTAATTCGGCTAATCATGCTAGCTTCTCACTACGGTTTAGAGAGTCGTGCGAGCTGCCAGATACACTCTCAGCTACCTTAGAAAATCTCGAATCTTCGACATCAGATTCTGGGGCCTTTTTACTTACCTCAAGTGATTTCCACGAAGTCTACTGCTAAGTGGCACAACGGTGTATGCCGTCGAATTGGAAGGTTATTGAGAAGCATCACGACAAAGCTGAAGGTGATGGAGTCAAGAAAGTCGTAAATCCCAGAAGGATGAAGCTTGATGCTGAAATTCACAAAATGTTTGCTTTGGGGAATGCTTTTGTGCCAAGGACAAAGTAAAATGCGTTTCCATGAGGGACTTGGCCTGAGTGGCGGATTTATAGGATTGCAAGTATTTGATGCCCGCTTTAGATGGAATTAATTGTGCCAGATTCAGTGGTACAGATTGATCCTGCCCTGGACTACTACAGGTTATTGATGGCAGTGTGCTGAATGATTCTCATCAGAAGGCTGGTGCCCTGCACATGCCCAGCAGCTGCAAGCAAAGGAAGCCATTAGGAATCGTTAGGAAAGAAGTTGGCTTGCATGCCTTTGCGACATTTGCATGCTTTGGATGCCAGGATGTCATCCAGCCACTGGAGCTTTCTTCAAATGCCAGGCGGGGCCTGGAGGACTCTGTTTAGAGTGTGTACATGTGACACAATATATATGTATATATATACATATATACATATATATATATTGTATATATATATGTATATAATCATTCATCAAGGTCTGGTAGGACTGGTTTTAATGATTTGTGCACCCGAAATCTGTTAAAAGATGTTTTCATGAAACTCGAAAGCCTCCTGTGCGCAAGCATGTTCTAGTCCCATGGTCGCGGAGGGGTCCATGTCAAGGTGAATTTGTGAATGGGTGAATCAGCAATACTTCAATACTGGCAGGGAAGAGGTCTTGAGCGGAGCTAAGTTTACAGGAGATTCTGTTATGTTTTGAGGGTCTCAAATCAATATAGACCCATTTGTTCTCATTCACCAGCTCAAAAGTCTCAACACATCTCACATGCTGAGGCCTGAATCCAAGGCTTCACCATCGACACCTCGAAAGCCCAACAAAACAAACAACAGGCTTGGCCTATTGGTGCAGCTTGGGACAGGAACCAGTGCTGTCAATGTTTCTTCTCAGACGGAACTAGGCCTTTGCCAAAGAAACGCAATGCCGTCGCCTATGTGCACGCCTTACGGGCCAAGACAGCGTTCTTCAGCCTTTTTGTAGTAGCAAGAAGCTACTAGTAGCTCCTGGCATTACTACTAGGAACAACAAGCTACTAGTAACAAGGGCATTTCTACTAGTAGCAAGAAGCTACTATGCACTTTCTGCAAAGATGGGCAAGCGACCCCAAGCGATGGCAAGCGTAGATACAACACGGATTAGTGTCAGGACGAAGAAGCTGCTTTGGCAACTCGGCCATGTTTGGATTATTTGGGGCCTTTGCCGGGTCTGACAGTTTACAAGTAAAAGCAAACGCTCAACAAAAAGAATTGAGATGACTTCTGTGACTATTGTTTGTTCTGGGATTCTTGGCACAATGGCCAGGTGGCTAATGCACAGCAAAGCGCAGGAACCTTGGGCAGCCAAGCCAAGCTGCTGAGCTGAGCTCTTTCTGGACTGAGGACAGTGAGGACGAGCCCAAGGAGCTGCACTCAGATGGGCACCCGGGCCCATCGAACAAACAATGTTTGGCGATGCTTTAGTTTGAATTAAGATGAATTTAAGTCTTATTATATAATATTATATATAATTGATTATAGTTATTGTACGTCTTTATGTTTTTGTTGTGCCAAGAGGTCAACAGGGGGAGGCAAATCCACGGTTCCTTCACGAGCCCTTCCAAAACAGTTCCTAGTCTTGCAATGTTTTACAGCGATCTTGTGAAGGCAAAGGCAACTCCTTCACAGCATTCACAGCCCTGTGCTTAGAAGCTGTGCAATCCATGCAACTTTGGGCACAAAAGTGGCACCAAGGCTTTCTGATAGCAATGAGACTGCATCTGGGAGTGATAGCGAGGAGTGTTAGAGCTCAGACACGGAGGGAGGAGTAGGAGTGTTGCGCTTCAGTATTTGAGTCACGAATGTTGGCAACAAACGAGCCGAAATCCACGACTGCAAGTTTGTAGGTTGCTAAAGTCATGAAGCAATATATTCAAAGATGCTAGCTTGTGCTGTATGGGTTGATATGGATTGTATATGGAATGCCACGTAATTAGTGCCAATGGGAAAGGTCATCTTCGTCGGAGTCAGCTTCTGAAGACACCCGAAAGGCCAGGGACAGTTGGAAGAGGTTGAAATTGAGGATGTTGGGGAGAGTCACATGCAGCTTGTCATGTCTCATGCTGACAGGCTTCAGAAGCTGAGGATACTCATTTTCAGGAGGGAAACTGTGCACTATTGATAGCTGTTGTCACGTAAAGTTGAATCCCTGTGCAGCTAAAAAGGAGAGAAGAGAAGTCTCGCTCGCAAACTTTGAGTGCAAATTGTCAATGTTGGTGTTCTCCGTAAACTTGCAGGCATTGAGCCAAAAGGCACAATCCATTGTGTCCAAACTCAACGCCATGTCAAAAGACCAGGCAATCTCGCTTTATGAAGTTGTCGACATGCAAATCATTTCAGCAGCACGCTGGTGCTTAAAGGCTGCAGCCAAAGTCAAACATTTGTTTGCAACGATGAGGCCGGTGCAGACTGCTAGCGTTCCTTCCCCACATTGTATCATAGCTTCTATACTTTTTTCAGTCCTAACCCTTGTGTGCAGGTCAAAAACCAAAAAGGGGATGCCTCTAGCTGCACCAGCCAGCGCCCTGAGAAACTTCCACCAATGGCATCTTGAAATTGAATATGTATGGAGAAGCAACTGTTGGCTTGTGAGCGGAGTGACGAAGACACTCGCTTTGCTCAGAATGGGTTTTCTCCATCCGACATGGAGCACATCGCAAAATGGTGCTGTAGGCCCGCACATACTTTGCATCGACGATCTTGAGTGTTTTTCCAGTTCGGCGGTAGTGCTTCTAGCAGAACAATTAAGCTCTGTAGAGCACGATTCTTGATGCTGAGATGGAAATCACCTTACAAACGGCATGCTCTGAAGCCTGCGAAGCACTTCACGACAATGCAAAATGGCCAGCGACCATGTGTTAATTGAATAGATCCATATCACGAAAGCTAGCTGTAGCTAGCTGGAGTCTGTCTTGCTTTAGCAAGGAGGGTGGGAGCCCAGGACCTGAGTGCTATTACCTGATATATCAGGACTACACCCCCCCCTCGCGGGGTTCAACTCCACCCTTCTCCTCCTCGGTACCTGCTGCTGCTGCTGCTTGGTCGCTGCTGCTGCTGCTGCTTGCTGCTTGCTTGCTGCTGCTGGGTTTTGCTGCTGGTGCTGTTTGGGGTTGTTGGCTGCTGTTGGTGCTGAAGAAAGCCTATTCGTTAGAATTGAGAGTAGTTGCATTCCCTCTGAGTCGTGAAACGATGCTAATTTCATTATATCCTTAAGAAGCTTGTACAGGCATGTACCCACCCCACAACCCCCAAGAGTACAAATCAGAATGCACTATCCGCTATCCATGCAGATCAAAAGATGATACTTTCTACCATGAATGACAGAACCCAGTAAGATGTTTGAACGGGCTGTTTGCTTCACTCATGGTAGTCCGCGTTGCATGTTCGAGCGACAGGGAGCATGCACAAGCGTTGCGACGGAATCTTCGGTCGCTGACACATGTTCGCATGCAACCCCTAGATGTCAATCATGCACACCGCTACTGGCTGCATCGTCAGCATTTATTCGTGGAAAAAACATATATATCAGATATATTTGTCTTTCCACGTCGCCCTTCTACAATTACTCAGGCAGCACCTATATGTGCTATTGTTCGAGACCAAATGTTGGGGCACGAAAGACTCGAAGGAAAGCTCACTCTTTCCCTGCTGCTGCTGCTTGGTAGCTGGTGGTGCTGCTTGGTAGCTTCTGCTGCTGCTGCTGCTCTGCTGCTCCTGCTGCTGCTGCTGCTTAGGCGCTGGTGCTGCTGCTGCTGCTTGGTAGCTGCTCCTGCTGCTGCTGCTTGGTCGCTGCTGCTGATGCTGCTGCTGCTTGGTGGCTGCTGCTGATGCTGCTGCTGCTGCTTGGTAGCTGCTGCTGATGCTGCTGCTGCTGCTGCTTGGTAGCTGCTCCTGCTGCTGCTGCTGCTTGGTAGCTGGTGGTGCTGCTTGGTAGCTTCTGCTGCTGCTCTGCTGCTCCTGCTGCTGCTGCTGTTGCTGCTGCTTGGTAGCTGCTGCTGCTGCTGCTGCTGCTGCTTGGTAGCTGCTCCTGCTGCTGCTGCTGCTGCTTGGTAGCTGCTGCTGATGCTGCTGCTGCTTGGTGGCTGCTGCTGATGCTGCTACTGCTGCTGCTTGGTTGCTGCTGCTGCTTGGTAGCTGCTGCTGCTGCTGCTGCTGCTGCTGCTGCTTGGTAGCTGCTCCTGCTGCTGCTACTGCTGCTGCTGCTGCTTGGTAGCTGCTCCTGCTGCTGCTGCTGCTGCTTGGTAGCTGGTGCTGCTGCTTGCTAGCTACTCCTGCTGCTGCTTCTGCTGCTGCTTGGTAGCTTCTGCTTGCTGCTGCTGCCGCTGCTGGTTACAGTTACTGTTGTTGTGGCTGTTGCTGCTGCTGCTGCTGCTGCGGTTGCTGGGGTGGTTGTGTGTTGCCATGTGTTGGCTGTGTTGGGGTCGTATTGGGGGGGCGCTGTTGGCACTCTCCTTTTCCCTTGGCCATGGCATGCCCGGCCAGGCTTTTGCTGCCTAAAGAGCCCCAGCGTTGTTTCTTTGCCTAGCTTTCGCCACCCCCCCTCTCGGCCACAAGTTTTATAGGTTTATAAAAATATGTCATTGGAGAGAGCCTGTTTTCAATTTTATGTTTTACTGTTTTTAAGTTTTAGAAAGTAAAAAAATCAATCCCAAAAGTCAAAGTCAAAAAAAAATCAAATCAGAAAGTCTCACAAAGTCAAAAAACTAAAGTCAATTTGCCCAGATCCGACTTTTTTTGACGTGTTCTTTCGACTGTTTGTTTGACTTGTTTGACTTTTTTTTACTTTTATCGACTGTTCTTTACTTTTTCGAGTGGTTGATGTTTTTTTTTGACACTTTCGAGTTGTTTTTTGATGTTGACTTGTTTTCGACTGTTTGACTTGTTTTTTGATGTTTTTACGACCTTTTTTGACTTTTTCGAGCTGTGGTCTAGAGTCTACAGTATGTTTGACGGTTGTTTGACTGTTTTTGTTGCCTTTTCAATTTGACATGTTTTTGACTTTGACTTTTCCATTTGACTTTTTGTTGACTGTTTTTTATCAAGGATTCTGGCCTTACCATATGAAAGAATTTTACAATTATAGGTTGTTAAATTCTGCCTTGTCTTAAATTCTGCCTTGTCAAGGATTGTTGATTCAAGGTTCATTAGTCGCAGGTGTTTGCAGGTTGTTTCTCCGGCTTGTGTTTGGCTGGGGGGTTGAGATAGTTGGATGATGCGTGTAGACAGCCCTGTGGTATTTGCTGTAAATTTAACTGAACATGTCCTTCAGGCTTTGGCGACGAAGCATTTTGTTCATGTTTGGCTTTGCAATTGATATGTTCGGAGCTTTTCATATGGTATTTCCAGTCGTTCAAAGGGGCCGAGTCGGGTGTTTGGGGGTCAATTTCGGTTGAGTGTGTAGCATTCAGCTGCATGGTCTAGTTACTCTAGTTAAGTTGTGAGAATTGGTTTTCAGAGAGGCAGAACCCCGGATGGAAGGCTTTCAGCTGATATTGATTCTGTATGGGTTTGTTATTTGATTCAAGTACGGCAAGGATCGTTATGGCAGTTTTGGTCTCCAAGAAACTGAAAGCAGGGCCTTTGATTTGGAAAGAAAGTATATACCTTTGTGTTCATTTGCAAGTTTGCATGCTATCACTTTCAAGACACCCCTGCAAATCTTCTTAGATTTTGTTCAATAACTCGACCAAGTCGCTGCGCTGGAGGAAAAATATTGTTTGCACAAAATCAAGTGATGCGCCGTCATTGCTTTTTGCTGTGTGACACTAATTAGTTTAGGATGGTTTAGGTAATCCTCAAAGTATCTCAAAGTCTTCAATATGTGATTCTCACCAGTCAGGCTGACACACTCATCAGTTCATCTCTACAATATTCACACCGCTTCGCGGCGAATGCTTGTAAAGATCGATGGGCTCAATGGGTCCCTCTGTTACCCGACGTTGCGTCTTAGATTCCGCAGGTACAAGAACGCACATTCTAATCGGATGATGCAGTTCTAATCGGGCAGCATAATTCACATTATCAGTAGTTTTATCGGTTCTCTTTCGGGAAGGCCACAGCGGCCAGGACACACGATGTCAATAACGTATGTTCACTCGGGCAGCAAAACCGACGTCGCAAGTGATTCGCTCGTTCTTCATCGGTCTTATGCAAGAATGATCAAGAATGCACCCCCCTAGCACTATGTGCTTATGTGAACACTGAGACGAGCACCTTCGGTGCGGGCGGATTTCAAAAGCACACCCAAGCTAAAAGTCACGACCTGTCGGTTGTCTAGCAAGCAGTACAAAGCCATACGGCCGTCGATTAAAGCACGTGATCCCGGAATGCCTTGCGCAGAAGTGCTCATGTTCTTTATTCAGAGAGATACAAGTTTTTTAGAGGTGATTTGATGATTTTGTTCTGCTTTGTTTGCGGGGGAGGGTGTTCATCGACCTTGTGCTTTTGGCAGGCATCTTGGTCTTACTGATCTCGATGTCAGCCCTAGCATAACAATGCAAAAGCCTCAGAGCAGAGCTCGAGCTGCAGGTGATCGTTTCTGGTTACCGGTTACCATAGCTATTGCTCGTCATTTAGTCGTTCTGAGCAGGTCGTCAGCTGGGCCAAGGACGCCAGATGAACCGCAGCCACAAACACCTCCGGAGGACCGATACCTTAGACATCATTAGACCACGAAAAATAAAAGGCGCGCTGTAAGAGTTGTCATGTGTTTGATGATTTTTAAAGGTGTGATATCAAGGCACCTCGTTTGAGGAAGGCCAACGGACGCGTTCACAGGTACATAAATGTAAAGAGTAAAAGCTGCAAGGGATGTGTAGAAGATATGACCATGTTCATGTTCCTTCATAGAATTTGGAGTTGGAAGCATGGTTCACAAGACTTGTGCTGAGAAGCGGCCAAGCTACATAGTTGTGGATGCTGATTTTGGAGAGTCGCAGGACACGTCCAAGCGGACTGAAGCACAGACACTGCTCCCGCCATGCCGGCAAAGTTTAGATCGTCTTCAAAGCTGTTACTCGGTTTGAGCAAAAGTTCACTGTGAGCAAAGAGTGTTAGGCACCACACCCATCAGCCAACAAAGTCGGCATGATTCTCAGACATGGTGTGACATACTCGCAGCCGCTACGTATGTCTTCCCACCACAATTGTCACTCAGGTTCTCAGACATCCGGCTGACCGAAACAAAAGAAAACGCAGCTTGCCACAGCACATTGAGACACATCTCTAATCATCTCTAGCTTCAGCGGAGAAAGTGAGCACAAAGTGACCGTGTTACATCAGGTAGTATCCAGTACGCTCCGGATGGAGACCTGAAAACAGAGGCATGTCCAGCGATGTCGCAATTTGAGATGCGTAGGATACTTCTTGGTCACCGTCCATTATTTCTTGCAAGCGTTGTGAACAATACCAAGTAAAGCAGGTCACGATTCCCTCGTACAAGTCATTGGGCGAAGGTTTGTGGCCAGGGGCTCACGCAGACATTTGCTGAAAGTGTGCAAGCTATACCTTCGATCCTCGCACCTTGAAGGAACCATTTAGAACCGCTTTGTCAGGTTTCAGTGTCCCGGGTCCTTGGTCAATTGCGATCATTGCAATCGGTAAAGTCCTCAGACTTTGGCCTTGGCTTAAGAGATCTTGCAAATGGCAAAGATTTCTTTTCAGAGGGAAGGAGGTAGTAACATGTAGTAACCCAAGATATAGGAGGTACATTTAGTATGCAAGTACAAAAGAAAAGGTAGTCAAGAAAAAGCAGTAGGAAAACTACGCAGAAGTACGGAGAAGTACGGAGAGCTCGGGTCCTTGTGGGAAATCTAAGCTCGACAGTCAGAACCTTTCATTTGGTCACGACGAATCATGACGACGACAGACATATTGAGCAGGTTGGTGCCGCAGGCGATGGGCTCTTTGCAGGTGGGCCTGACGGAATGATTCAGATGTTTGTGTGAGATAATGAGTATTTGCTTGTGTAAGGGAGCTCCAGCCAGATCGCAGTTTGCACAAAATTTGCCTCTCGGACAAAGAATTATGCAAAACGAATCAGCATGCCTGACTTGACTAGACTCTAGACATTACACGAAACGAACCAAGGTTTCTTTGCCAAGAATGCTCCGCTCGAGCCCAGTGAGTCCTTTTTGTCATGTGGCGGACGTGTAAAACTTTGCTCTGCTCCACTTCATGATTTGGTAGCACTGACTACCGCCAGCTTGGTTGCATTATGTTGTATTTCTGGTTCGCTCTTCCACCCCAACACTTCTTGGGCCCAAAATATTCCAAATTAGGCACGAGAAAATTTTCTTTCATTCATATGCCCTCACTCCTGACTCCTTTGTTACAAACAACCTACACCTGGTCCTCTGCACTGAAGGTATGGGATGGTGTGGGTATAGGGATGTCACAGATGAGGATAATGATTCAACGCACCGAGCTGCATAGTGTGACAAGCACCAGTCATAGGCCTTTTGAGCGAAGTTCAAGCTCTATAGTCTATAGACTTGCATGATGCGTATGTCAAGGGCCAAATTCAGGGGCTCAAAGATAGGCTAAAGCGCAGTGCATGGGACCGTGTGAAGTATGCATGCTACTTCCTTTGGAGGGAATTAGTGCTAGCTTTGAATTCCAAAAAGAGTGTGGCAAAGGGGCAAAGTGTTACACGCATGTGGGTCAGCTGCAGTTGCAGCTCTGAGCAAGGACTTTGTCCATTTGATACTGTTTTCTGGTGAGCCTTTGTTTTCGAACGGCATTGTGTTTCCCTACACCTGTCGAAGAACTGGTCAAAGTCACTTGGTTCTGTGGGAAGGCGTGAGATGTGCATAATTGTTGTTCACTCACTGCCGACAGCACCGACACATTGGACAACTGGGCCAAACGTATACTTTGTGATAAACTCAGTATACCGACGGCGTACGATTGACCTATCCAGCCAAAAAATGACCGCTAATATGTATACAAAACGTACAAGGGGCGAATGCTGCAAAGATCACTTTGTGAATCTGTTGTCTGTAAGGAAAGAATACCAGCATGCTGAAAGCCGGTTGCTGATCCAGATTGAGTTGCTTGCGCCCAGATGATTGTAGATTCCACCACAGGATACAGATTGCTCAAGGCGACTGCAGGCTGAGGAAGCAATAAGGATTGACAAGAATGATGATATACAAACACATATTGACACCAACAACAAACCAAGGAATATATTTAGATACATTCATTCCAAATCTTTTTATTAACATAATTTTCGATATATATATATATATTGATTTAATCTTTTTTGAATGGTTTCGTAATAAATTGATTATTGATTTGGGATAATAAATAGATCCGAGGATTTGATTTGTTTTTCGATAGGTAGGATACATTATTGATTATAATTCAAAAATATATTGTTTGATTGGAATTGATTATTTATCTATTTTTGTTTATGGATTATATTTGTAATTGATATTAAAATAGTTATTTTGTTGATATATTTGGAATATGACGGGAATAATTGAATATTATAATATTTGAATATATGTATATTTTAAATATATTATATAGTGATTATGTATATATTCAATATATATATTGATTAACATATATATTTATTAATATTATTATATATATTATTTTTTAAAATATATATATATATTTATTTATATATTATATTTAAAAAATAATAGCTATATATATAATTTATTTAAATTAAATATTTTTAAAAAACAATAGTACGAAATAAATAATAGGGCGTTTGGGGGATATTCTTATTAATTTCTTGAATAAATATATAATAATATAGCATTTATATGGATTTAGGGTAACACAATTTTTTGTTGCAAGATATTGCCATTTAATTGTTTTATTTTGGTCCGCGTCTTGGAAGAAAATTGTAGCTACATGGATTCTTTATAAATATTTTTTTTTGCACGCCTTTTGGGACAGCATGAGGTTAAGCGAACATTTGTCGCAGGTCTTTCTGGCGCATGTACACGTAGCGGGCCTTGAGCTTGTTGGTCAAGATCGGAATGCCATCCGATAAGCGAGTGCGTGCGTGGTTTCCTCATTTGTCCTGGCTAAGATGTAGCACCGACAAACCGAGCACCTTCGGTAGGCACGATCCAACTGCAAGTGATGGACTCCTTGTTGGACTCCTTGTTGTGGGCCTTGCTGGGCAGCGATTAGGGCATGGACCATCTCCATCCTGGTCTGCTTCGGTGGGTTCGGACGGACTTCTTGGTGGCACGGTTTGTCTGAGGCTTCCTTCAACTCACTTAGGAGACTCTTGGTGTGGTATCGTAAACGACACAACCGGCATTGGATGCCACTTCTGAAGACCTCCTATCGATGGCCGTTGTGCGAAGTCTTGTGCAAAAGATCGTGGAGGATCTCTTTCTTTTGCTGAGCAAGCGGGATTTTCTGTTGGATGTCGGCTTCCTTGCGGTGCAGGAAATGCTCTTTGCACCTGAGCAAAATGCTCATTCGTTCACTTGCACTGAGAAGGATGGCATGGGCATCCTCGTCTATGTGTGATTGTAAGTCGAGGATTTCCTTTGGTTCAAAAAGCTTGCCCGTGCTGTCGGCCGCTTTCTGGGTGTCTTTCTGAATGACACGTCTCATCTCATTCTGGTCCAGTTTAACTCGGGAGAAGAGAAGAGGCCAAACATGATCGAAATCTTCAAATTCGAGGCCCGTGAAAAGATCCGGAAAGGTTTCAAAGGCAACATATGGCTTCCAATTCTTCCAAGCGGTTGTGTCATAGAGTGCCACTGGAGTCTTCTCCAAGACATGCAGAGCAAGCTGCTTCATGGCATAGAAGATGGCCCTCTGTTTGGTGGCAGGGCCAGGACAAATGCCCGTGATGGAGCCAACTTGCTGCTTGTTGGTGGACAGGTGCACACATATTGCAAAAGCAAAGCGCTTGTGCCTTTTGTCTCCACACGTGGGTGCCACAGCGATGGAGCAGATGTGGCCTTTTTGCAGCCTGAGGTGCCCGAGTTCTTTCCATACCCCGGTGCCTTCCAAGGTGGAAGAGCCTTCTTCCGGCTCATAGAAGATGCGCTGAACCAAGTCTCTCTGCCATAGCTCGGGATCTGTGCCAACCTCCAGGCAATTGGTCCATTCCTTGGAGAGTGGCTTGACTCTTCCTTGCCAAAAAGAGCACTGCCACAGAAGGTGGATGAAGGTCAGCTCAACTCCGCACAAAGGACAGTGGCCAGTGAGGCCATGCAAGGTGCCCTGGTGAAAGGCTCTCAACCCAGTGGCGATGGCCTCGCTGGTGGTTCTCTGGATGTGCTGGCTGATCATCCAATCCAACGGCCTTTCTAGGTCATGGCACCCATCGTACCTGGTCAAACGGAGAAGGCGCTGCCACCGGAATTCTTGCGTGAGCTTGTGGTGCAAAAGTGGCCACGGATCAGTTGGGCTCAGCACACAATCTGGGATGCCCCCATAGCCTGTTCGCTTCCATTTCTGTCCATCAGAGATGTCGAAGTCGAGATCCATCATGTAGGCTTGAAGGGCCTGCAAAGGTTCAGAGACAACCTGCCACTTGTACTTGGCTTTGTGCAAGGCCCCTAGGGCGGTGTTCCAGCTGGTCCAGAACAAGTGTTGCTTGTTCTCAGGGAAGCCATGATAGACCTTCCAAATGGTGTGCAAATGCTGGAGGATGATTGAGTCTCCAGGGTCAGGCTGAGATGGATGCATGTCAAAGACGATGTCCACTGACCCAGAGCGTTGAAGCCTGAGGCCTCTGGCGGCCAGAACTCTCAGCTGGTGCCTCCTTTGTGGTGCTGGACCATTGGCTTGAGCCCCCCAAGACATAACCGGGTGCACCGCTCCCTTGTGTAGACGGTAGCGGATGCCCTGGGCAATGCGCAGACGATGCATAATGCCCACTCTGCCTTTGCCCTTGAGGAACCTCTTGCGGATCTGGGGCACCCGTCTTCGCCGACCAGCCGTTGAATCCACTCCCAAATCACGGAGAACATCATAGTGTTCCGGATCACCTTCTTGCAAAAGGGCCTTAAGGGCTTTGGCGGACTCCTTGGAGCTTGTGATGAAACCCGTTTTGTCGGTGTTCAAAACCAAGCCAGCTTGCTCCATTTGCCACTTGAGGGTGCGGAAAGCGCCAAGTGCCTCTCTGGCCGCGAAGTCTGCATCCCGACTGTGGATGTCGAAGCTGACATCATCGACCCATGTCTGCAAAGAAGCTGCAGGGTGGGCTTTGACCAGCGCTTCCAGTGGCCGATAGAGGATGAGCTTGGAGATGGCTGGGGCTTGAGGACATCCCTGTAGAATGCCTTTGTCGTAATGCCGAGTGTTTCCATTGATCCCTTCCGCTTGCAGAGTGCGGGGGCCCGTGTACAGGTCCATGGCAAACTTGAGGTGCAGCGGGGGATAGGCCAAATCTCTGGCAGGTTCAATGATCTGGTCCAGGTCTACGTGATCATAGAAGCAGGTGAGATCAGCCAGGCAGGTGACCGTGTGGATGCCTTGATGTCGAGCAATTTCAGCGTGTAGCATTCTGCCAATCGCAATGCTCAAACAATCTCTGCCTGGTCGAGCTTGGTCCCAAGGGAGCTTCTCATCCAGAGACAATTGCCATCGTTGCAGGTCTGCTTTCCTGTAGGAACACCGCACCCTGTAGATGCAGCTTGTCAGGGCAATGGGCCTCTCCACCTTGCAGTTCTTGGGGATGAGCACAATGTTAGTGGCTCGAAGCTGGACAGCCAGCTCTCCCTCCCTTTCCATGGTGGTCAGGAGGTCTGCCAGTTTCTCTACAGCCGGAAATGGCAAATGCCTCAGGAAATCATAGGAGATGCCATCCGGACCCGCTGCCTTGTTGGGAAGTCGGCGCAGAAGTTGCTGCAGCTGATACGATTGAAAAGGTGGGAGTTGTTGAGCTTGATCGATTGCAGCCTGGCGAAGAAGGTCCCAGGAACGAATCGGTCGAGGGTCGTCCCGAGGCTGCCAAATGGCTCCCCATTGAGCCTCTCGAGCCTGTAGTCTTTCCCCAGCTAGGAGGTGCTGGAAAGGTCTTTGCCAAGGGATGTCTCGCTGGCGAAGGCTCCGAAAGAGACCACGGAGGCCTTTCTCGTGGGCTTTCTCAAGCCAAAGACGGTATTCCTCATCTGTGCTGCTGAAAAGCTTCTG